GAGCCTAAGAGCTGTTCTTAGAGATGACTTCAGCTCTGCCGTGCTCTAGCAATGAAAATGCTGTGGCCGGGGTTCAGTCACCATTCAGGCTGGCAAGCTTTCAGGTCCTACAATACTGAAATAGCTGCATTGGGCAGTTTATGTCAGTGCTGGAGAGTTCTGTTTGTACATAGTTTGTACATAGGTGCTGTTCAGAAGCTCCTTAGACAAGTAGCTGCCTCCTCATACAGCAGCACAGCTTATGAAATGCATTTACCTCTAAGAATGTGAAGTGCTCTGAGTCTCTGCCCCGTGTGCTGTGCAACTACTTCCAATGAATGCCTTGTTTGCCCATAAGGGCAGATCTCTGCTTTTTTTCTTCTAGAGAAGAGTGGACTTTGTGCTGTAGCTCTTGATGTCCTGATTTACTTCTCTCTGCTTTCCAGTGCCTGAATGCAGTACGGACAGTACAGAGCTTGGCTTGTCTGGAGGAGGCTGATCACACTGTTGGCTTCATTCTCCAGCTCTCAAATTTCACAAAGGAATGGCATTTCCACCTGCCACAGCTTATGAGGGACATGCAGGTAGGAGTTGGGATACTGCTGTAGATAACACCTTGTGTTGGAATGCAAGAAATTGGATGTGGTAAGAGAAAGTGGCACTACATTTATTTTTATTACTGCTCTTTATGCTCTTTCCTTTACGTCACGCTTTCTGCCTGGATGGGCTTTAATCTTTGAAGAGATTTCTCCCTCACCTTCTTTATTTCAGGTGAATCTGTGTTACCTGTGTCAGGCCTGCACCTCCCTGCTGCACAGCCGCAAAATGCTCCAGCACTACCTGCAGGTGAGGATGGGGACCCAAAGGCTGGAGGTGGGGAGCTTTGTGTGCTCATGCTTCATGCTGAAAGGCAAATGTTGTTCAGTATCCAGACTCTGTTCCCAGTGGTGATTACCAGCAATCATCAATAGCTAGGATTTGCACCTTTCCACACCAAAAATGTCTTCGGATAGTAGTTGAGACTGTGAAAGGTCAGACCTTGAGAAACAGCAGCCTGTGCTCGAGTGGTGCCATTATCATTCTAGAGCTGCCTACAGAGCAGCGAGGAAGCTGTGTTGCTGTAGTACTCTCTAGGGCCATTAAGACACCACTGACCTGATGTCCTTAATCTGGTTTAATTTGTTTAAGAGATACAGCTCTTGTTCTTGGAGAATCCTTTGTTGAACACGAGGTAGAGATAATGCATTGCTACTGATGTGCTGTTTCAGCATGGCTGAGGCTTGCTGTGTTGATTTTTCTGGAATGTGAAATCCAAGCAGCCTTTGCAGCTGCTTTCCTAGAATGCAGAGCCTCTTCTGCTGTGCACTGTGTGAGTTCTCACGCTTCTAGTAGGTGACAGAGTTTGTGTGCCTTATTTCCTCCTTTTTGCTTGTAGCAGTTTTCCTTGAAAGCATCATCCTTAATGCAAAACTGTCATGAATGTATCTAAGACACTTTTCTCTGCAGACAAAAAATGGTGACTCCCTTCCATCAAGTGTGACTCCACGAGTGCAGCGTAATCCCCAAACCTCTTCCAAACACCCCAGCCCTGAGTCAGAGGCAGCAGAGCAGAAGGCACTGCTAATGGTGCAGTACAGCCTCTTGAAAATCCTCAGCAAATCTCTTGCTGCTCTGCGCCACTTCACCCCCGATGTCTGCCAGATACTCCTTGATCAGGTAAGAGATGTTTCTCCCTGAGCAGGGAGGTTTCCATCATCTCAAGTGACAGGGTTTATGGGTTTATGAAGAGAAGCACAGCCCATCCTGCTTGTGACAGTGACCCTGCTGTACATCTGTCTGCTGTTCTGCTGCACAGAGCAGGAGTTCCCCTCAGTTCTCAGGCACTGATCTGAGAAGAAGGCTTGGCTGAGCTGTGGTGTGATTGCACAGCACCGTACGTGCAGCCTTACTGGAGCAGAGCCAGCTAGGTTTGTGTCCTCAGAAGAGATACTCTTGTTCTCCCATAGCTGTGACCTGGTGGCCTGGTCTCCAAGTTAAGCCAAGTAGGGTTTAATCCTTGACTCTGACAATGTCCTGCTGCTTTCTTTTGGATAGTTACTTCCTGTAGCTGCCCGTAGTTAAACGGTCTGGAAGCAGTCATTGTTTGAGCTTCTGCTCAGCTTCACAGCCTGAGAGTTGTAAGGCTCTGCTCCCTCCTGTGAACAGAGTGCAATCTCTGTGTGCAGAGCTGTGCGGTGCTCTTTGCTGTTCCATCTGCGTTACAGATTGCAGAAGTGACCTCAGGGCTTTGGGTTCTCCATACAAAAAGCATGCTGCAGGGACTCGATATTCCTGCTACTGTGACAGTAGCATGCTCATGTCCTCAGGGGTCACACAGTCCTCCTTCCTTTTCTCCACAGTCACTGGACCTTGCTGAATACAACGTGCTCTTTGTCTTGAGTTTCACCACACCAGCCTTTGATTCGGATGTCGCCCCTTCCTTTGGGACCCTCCTTGCCACAGTCAATGTGGCCCTCAACATGTTAGGAGAGGTACGAGCCGTCTGTGTTTGGGAAAGCACAGCTCTTGCAGTCATCTCAGAGAACTTAATACTTTGAAAAGTAGCTTCTGTATGTGCTGTGTCCAATAGCTGTCTTTTTTTCAGTTGGATAAGAAGAAGGAACCTTTTCCTCAGGCTGCAGGGCTGAATATGCAAGAGGGAACCAAAACCCTCAAGTAAGTTTCTAGGTCTTTTATTTAGTTGTGGCCAAGGGGCAGAACCCAGTGCTCCTCAGGTCATAACTGGGATTTGTAAGCATTAGGGTAGCTTCAGAACTTCTCACTCTGAGCGATAGGAGTTCAGCTGCCTGTGTGAAGCTCTCCACTGCAGGGCAAATGGGGATTTCTGCTCTGTAGACCTTAGCTTTTGTTGTCATTGCCTGAGCCCAGTCTGAGCAGCAGCAGTTGTCCCTCCTATGTACTCTAGGTGAAGTTTTTCCCAGGCTTTGTGATCTGAAACCTGGGGTATTTGTCTCCTTTCTTTGCACAGGTCTCTGCTCATGTTTACAATGGAAAACTGTTTCTACCTGCTCATCTCCCAGGCTGTTCGGTACTTGAGAGACCCAGCTGTGCATCCCCGCGATAAGCAGCGGATGAAACAGGAGCTGAGCTCTGAGCTGGTAAGCAGCTTGTACCATTCTTTCTCACTGTTCATTGAAGCGTGTTTTATGGGAGAAGGTCCTACGTCTGCCTGGTACAGCCCATTCATTCCCCTGCATTAGGGGGCCCTGGGTATCTGTACCTCGTTTTGGGAGGGAGAGGGATATGTGCGTGGAAGAAACTAACACATGATATCTTCTAATTTCAGAGTACACTGCTTTCCAGCTTGTCTCGTTATTTCCGCCGTGGTGGTCCCTCCTCACCTGCCAGTGGGGTTCTTCCCTCTCCCCAGGGGAAGTCTGCCTCCAAGCTGGGGCCTGAGGGCCAGGAGCCTTTGTTTCAGCTCGTGCAGGCCTTCGTCCGGCACGTGCAGAGATAGATGCTGTTCTGCCACAGCCTCCCTTTCCAGGACTTGCACCAGAACGATTCATATCCACCACAGAAAGCATCACCCTTGGCAGAGCTTGTAACAAGGACTGGGGCAGGGAGGGAGGCCTGGTCTGGGCAGCGTTGGATACCAAGCTGTAACATCAGCAACACGATCCTGTTGAACTCCTGCAGAGCAGTGAATGTAAGGAGAGCTGCGAGGAGCTCCTCAGATTGACCAGTGCACAGCCTGCCTGCTCCATCTGCTAGAGCATCCTGGCCAGGTACAAAGTGCTGAACAGTCAAAACCTTTATTTTTATAGCTTGTACCTCAGCTGGGGAAGCTCTGGCTGATGGAATGAGAGGACAGGCTCTCCTCTGGGCATTGACTCTGCTATTAACACAAGGTGCGGTCTGCCCCTCCCTCCCAGTCAGAGTCCAGTTAAGGCACAACCTAGGGATCAGCCAGCAATTCAGAGACCATCTTTCTACTATTTTTGTACTGAGTGGTTCAAGGCAAGATGGTGTATGTGTGCTCACGCCTCCCCTCCACCCTCCAGTCTGTGTGCTGCGTGTTTCTGAAGAGCAAGGCCTCACTCAAGGTTTTTAAGTCAAAATTCCATTGCTCTAGTCTTGCAATTTTTTGTAACTGTGGCCTATTTATACTGATATTAAAACCTTTATAGACAGCAGCTGGGTTTGTGGTTTTGTATCCTGCAGCACCAGGCTCCGCATCTTCTGTGTAGTTCTGTGTCAGTTGAGCTGAAGTACTTTGCTTCTGTAATTCTAACAGCAAGGTGAGTTGTGGCTTGTGAGTGACAGTGCAGGTACCATTCGAAGGGATTACATCAAAGGTTGATTCCTTTGGCTTCCCCACACCTCCTGTTTCTCTTACTGGCACACTGGGGAGCTGCTTGGTTTTAAACAAGCATTGCTACGCCAAACTCTTTAAGAATGGTTCTTCTGCCAGGTTGCTCTGTGCACAGATCCACACTGCTGCTGGAGCAGGAGTTCCAGCTGGGACTTGGAGTTGGTTGCAGTGTCGCTGTGTCACACTGTTGTCTCTCTCAAGCTGATCAACAAACTCTTTCAGGTTCCGAGGTTCAATGTGTGACAGAGACAGGAAGAGAAGGTGAGTGCTTATTTCATCAAATAATCCCTGAAATTCAGACTTCCTTAAGGCAGGAAATCAAATGGAAATGTAGTTGTGAACCACCCACCTGAGGCTCTATCCTAAAGAAATCCTTGCTTGCTTTACCAGTCAGAACCTTTCTAATTTTTATGTTTTTAAGAGAGACCAGTGATGGTATTGGATGGTGTTGCTTTAAGCGTTATCTTCCTGGTAAACTGGCGGGGTGGTGATATTCTAGCACACGTTTGCTGTAGTTTTACTTGGAGCTGGCTGGAGTCAGGTCTCCACATGGAAGGAGAGGCGCTTCCAGACACTCTCACTGCAGTGAGAACTGAGGGAGCCAGGCAGAAGTCCCTGGTGCCACGCTGCAAACAGAGGCAGGTGCAATTGGTTGTATTTTATTTTGTTCCTTTAGACAGAAGCACTGCATCTCTGAATTAGCCTTTACCTGCCTCTCAGCCACAGGGAGAGGCTTGGAGCACTATTAAGCTGGAGAGGAGCCCTCTGGGTCAGGGGGCAGCAATGTCCTGTAGGAGATTTGGACATTTGCAAATAAGCAGACAGGAGTGCAGTCATTGTGCAGACAGCCTGTTAGTTCCAAACCTGAAACAGCACCAGACTTTCCCTGTGCCTTTCCTAATGACAAAGGAGTGCTGGTGCTAGGTAGGCTTCCTTCTGCCTGTTCTGAGGTGCGTTTTCTGCATCGTTAGGTGTTGCTGCTGTTCTTTCTGTAATACACCACAGAGAGGAATAACAGGGTTGTAACTTGGGAATAGGTATCTACAGTGAAGCTGTATCACTGCAATTGTAAAACTAAAACTGTAAGTTGGTTACTGTAGAAAAACAGAGTTACTGCTACATTACAGAGCATTGTAACGGCTTCTTCTCCCAGGAGTTCCTTCTATCCCTCCTTTCCCAGCTGGGGGCTAGGGACCAGGCTTTAAGGTTTTAGATTGGCAGCAGAGGTAGTTTCCATAACAACAAAAAGGGTTGTTAGATGTTGAATAACATTCCCAGTTTCTCAGCAGCTAAAGTCATTCTGCTGCCCTAGTTTTGCTTTAGGTGAAGGAGGAGCTGTTTCTCAGAATTCATGAATCTGTAGCACAAGGAGACATCTGGAAAGGAACTGAAAGACATTCACAAGCTTAAGGACACTGAGAGTTTCAGTGAGGATTTGGAGCTTTGTTTTGCTTTTACCCCCAGCTTCCAAGACCAGGGTGGCACAGCTCCTGCCTGACCTGCATCCCTCTCTCTACAAGCTGCAGTTACACCGGAGCAGCCCTGAGCACACAGCAACACTGAGGCGGGAGGTCAGGCAGTTCATTTATTGGCAAATAAGTGCTGAAAACCATGAGCCCTACATACACAGGTGCTCAGTGCCCTGTTACATTAGAGTGGTCACAATACCATTGGGGAAAGTGCAAAAGATAAACAAGCAAAGTTAGTTCTGCCATACCAGGGGAAAGGCAGTGAACAGAAAGCCTGGTGCAGGTGAATTGCTCTTCAATCCAGCTTAAGTGGAAAACTAGTTACACAGCAACAGCAGTCCTTCAGTTGAGCTCTAGCTAAAAAGAGCATTATAGGATTAAAATGCATACACACCTTAGCACTCCCTTTGAGCTAACCCAGCACGTGCACCAGGGCAGCCTGAGCTGCTGGATGTGTGTGCAGCCAGGAATGGCTCTTTGGAGGTAACAGCAAGTGGGACTGCTCCTTACTGTGCTGAGATGCACCAAGTCTGCTCACTGCTGAGATGGGAGGGAAGGTGTTGGTTACATCCGTCATCGAGGGTGAAAGTAAAGTCAGGCTCAAACATGCCTGGAACAGACGCTGAAAGAAAAGCCAGGACAATTAACACAGGGAGCAAAGCTTGTAAGAAGGCTTGTAAACTCTTTGCAGTCCGAGTAGTTTTTCAGAGGAAATGCAAGCAAGATGCATGGTCCCTTGCACTGAGGTTTGATTCCTGCCATACAGGCCCTGTCACTAGGTTGGTCTTCGAAGACATTTCATTCCAGCTTCAGAGGACAGTACAAATGGAAGCCATCAGGCACCACTGGAGTAAGCACAGCTCTTAGAAAGCCTTGTGTTACTGCTCTCCCTGTTGGATTTAACTGGCTCTTAATTCTTACATGTAGCTTCCTTGAGAGCTAGCTTATATGAGGGGGTTTGTGTGGGACACTTTCCCACTGGAATGCTCAGTGGTTTGACTCAGGCTTTTCTACTGCTGAAGAACAGAGAAGAGGAGGGGCAGACAGGCACTAGCTGACACCAAACACAAGGGAAGCATAACTTAAACTCCGTGAGCAGCAGCTGAGGGACACAGAGTGCTGGGGAAGCCATGGTGATAAACAAGAGTAGGGCAGAGTAGAAAAAGTAATCAGGGAATCTTGCACCATCAAGACTAACCTCAAAGCAGGCTGCACTGGTATTTATGAATTCTCAGGTGCCACTGGCCCTTTCCCACAACCTTTCTGTAACAGTTTTACCACTTCTTCCCCACAATTCCCATATTAGCAATGGAGTGCCAACCCTGAAGAGAGCAATGATCTCTGATGAAGAAATCCACGTTAGAAGTGCCAGGAGATGAGGGGTGCATTCTGTTTGTACATTCTTCTTCCTGGGGGACGTTTAACTTAACAGTTCCAAGTAAGTGACAGGAACTTTCCCTTTCTGGTTCCCTCTTTCCCCTATGAGCCAGTCTGGATCCATGCCTGGCAGGCTGTACACAGTGATCATCTGTGGAGAGAAGACAGCATTAGACGGGACCTTCTGCAGAGCCCAAAGTTCAGTCAGATGTGTACTTAAAGAGCAGCAAGTTAATTCCTGAAGTTCACTTAGTAGGCATCTGTGCTTTTTTCCCCTGGAGGCTTCCTGGAACTATTTGCAGCTTTAACAGAAGATGTACTGCCCCCTGAAATCCCTGCTACATTAAGTCAATTTGGAGAATGAAAAGGCATTTTTGCCTCCTGGATGTCTTGATAGTGCCATGTCATCCTTTCCGAAGACAAAAGTCTTCAGTCACCAAAACAGTTTGCAGCTTGCTGAATTTCCTTTGTTCTTAGCATGATTAGACCAGGCCTCCAGCCAGTAGCTTGTCCCACTGCTCTCAAAAGCTAGCTGGGTTTGAGAGTTTGAGTGAACACTGTAAAGGGTGTTTAGTTAGCTGGGTACAACAGGATATTCCAGTAGGAAGAAAAGGCCTTTCTGGTGCAAGCATGGCCATGAGTGCAAACTCACTGCAATTCAGTGGATGTCAAGGAAAATATTCTATTAGTACTTCCATACAGAGAGGGTTTAGGGGGAGGAAATCCAAGACCTTGCAGAGCATGTAACAGAATGGTAGGCAATTAGAACGTTCAGTGTGAAGGGAAGGTCCTCACCTCATCTGCAAGAAGTGCCAGCTCAGTGCTGTCAGCTGCTTCATAGTCATACAGGACCCTGGCCTTCCGCGTCCCGCTGGCAGGAGGCTTGACTTCATTTGGGTTCAGGACACTCTCTGCCACAGTATTGGGCACCCCAACAATCGTGGGGACCACTGGAATAGTAGGCACAGAGGGGAGAGCGGCGGCAGCGACAGCTGGAGGAGAGGCAGCAGCTGGGGGTGGAGATGTGGATTCTGCATTCCCTACAAACGTGCCTGAAAATCTTACACAGGAGAGAAGAGCAGAGCTGGGTAAGGATCTAGTGGGAGGAACCAAGAAACAGTCCTTCCCTTCAGTAGCCTCAGTGCAGAGGTGATGCTGCACAGTTCCACAACAGCTGGAATGTACCTATGGTGCCCTTAAAGTAGGGAAGTGCTCAGGTGCTGAGGCTATGTAACAAGGAATACTTGTCTGCTTACTTTTCTTCCAGTGCCCTGCTAAAGGACTGTCAGCAAACTTGCTGAGTAGGAGTGTAGCACTAGAGATATTGCAACTGGAGGCTTTGGGGGCTCTTTACACAGATGGCAATGAACCCAGGTCTTGTTTATCTGTAGATTTTCCCCTTCTGCACTGGGGGAGCGCAGATCTGGCCCTTGCTGGCCTTGGCAGTGAGCCTGCAAAGACTCCATGGTTTGGCTGAGGTGCAGAGCAGAGCTCTTAGAACCGGTCCTGTGTAACATTTTACTTACATTTCTCCTTTGGAGCTGCAAGCATGGAAAAGAATGAAACAGGAATAGTGAGTGATCAGACAGGTCCCTCCTGGGTCAGACCGCCAGCATAATGGTAACAGACAGAAGAGCCCTGCCAGCAGCATGGGGACGTGCTGACAGCAGTGTGGAAATGGTTCCTGCTGCAGCTGAGCACGCTCAGGCTTGTTGCGTGGCAACGGGAATTTGTCTCCTGTGTCTTTTAACTAGTTTAGAAGGACATTCAGACTCTTGGCCATCGTGGTTTGAGATGAACGTATAAATCTCAGATGAATCTAATGGTAAAGCCTGCTCCGGGTGCGTTAGCATTCATCACCATTCTGTAAGCTCAGAAGCTCTGTCAGAGCTTGGAGGGGGCTTTTAAGCCTCTGTCAAAGAGGGAGGCCTGAGCTGGAGACGACCAGATGAGGGAGTAACCCTTAGGGAAGCAAAAGTCATTTCTTGTCTCACCTGCCCAGCTGCTTCTGCAGGTCCAGCATGTACTGATAACACTGAGCATAGTAGTTGGTCTGAGACTCCACAAACTCATGGAGACAGCGAAGATGATTCACCTGTATGGAGGACCAGAAGCCAGGCTCAGTTTGGTGCCAGGACACTTCCCGCAGCTACCAGCTAACCCTAAGGGCAGCAGATGTGTGTAGGGCAGCAGTTACAGGAGTTACATGGTTGACTTGAATATTTTTACTGTCAAGTTGGGAAAGCTGCAGGAGGCCAATGGTGATAGGAGAGAGGAGGCTGTTCCTGGCACTCCAGCAGTGTGCACGTGGGTAGTGCACAAGAGAACAACAAGGCATTTGTGCCTCAGAAGCACCTTGAGGGCTGGGCATCCCAGTGGCGCTGCCTGTGCGTGCTGCTTCATTATGATTTTAGTGCGAGCACTCCAAGCCTTTGGAGGAGGTTGCTGTAGCATCTACATCTATGAGCTCTTCTATGTCTGCTCCCGATGAAGGGCTCATCGTCCCCTTGGCAGCCTTCTAAGAAGGAGCCAAGAGCCTCTCAGTCCCCACCCCAGCTTCCTAGGAAGACTCACGTGTGTGCTGCTGATCCCCTCCAGCAGCAGACGTGTCACCTCTGCCTGTCGATCAAATTCGGTCTGCGTGAGCCGTAGCTCGTGCTCTGCCTGCAAAACAGGATGGGGTGTTCAACACAGCAAAGGCAAGGGCCCCTGTTCTGCTTTTTCCAGGGGAAGCCAATACCCACCTCCTCCTCTAACCCCTCCTCCCCTTTTGGCACTGAGACGAGTGCAGTGATGGCTCAGTAGGATCCATGTGCACCTGTGACACTGAATGGCAGGCACAGGACACCCTGGGTTGGAATCCCAGCGGTCTCTGGCTGTATTTCAACTTGATTCCTGCTCAGTCATACACTGAATCACTGCAGCTCAGGGCATGACAGCTCAAGACTGATACATCAAGCCAGGATGCTCCTAAATTAGAACACGAGGTTGGAGAGGTTTTGTTAATCCTGAGATAGATGGAAAGCCAATCCTGTGCTACACCCATCCTTCTACTGCCTGTTGTAGTGCTCCAAGAACCACACAGCCAGCACTGCACATCAGTATCCGCCCCAAGCAAAGTGTCATTGGAAACAGGACAGTTCCTGGTGTCAGCATGCCTTAAGTCTGCTCTAAAGTGCAGTTGTGGAGCTCTTCTGACACCCCCTCCTATGCCTCAAGTCTCTCCAGCAGTGCTGCTTTTGCCAGTGTTCTTTTTATCACCATAGAACAAAGGCTGAGGCCAAGAAGCATTTATATTAATAATAATTAATAACTGCAACTGAGATGACAATCCAGCTGCTACCACAGGCTCTCCTTTAAGGCTGGTTACTTATTTGGAGCAGGAAGAATTCAATCACGGTTATCAGAAGGCAGCTATGCAGTAGAAATTGGGAATTCAAAGACAAACTGACACCTGAGACTCTGCTTAATAAAGAGTCTCTCTTCCCCCAGCAGCAAACAGCTTATTTCTATTATGGTAACTTCGTGCTACCAGAACATCCAGATGATTTCTTGCATGAGAAGAGCTCCAGAAGTGGCAGAGCTGTCTGCTGCTCTGCTGCCTGCTCTTCCCCCCCAGCACCACAGGTCACGGGGTGACAGTCAGGCTCATTTGTCCTCCACCCGTCATTCCTTAGCACCAAGAGGATGTGCTGGTTGTACTGCTGTATGAATAGGCTGGAAGGAATAAATGCTTTGACTGTCTTTTAATCAGATTTGCCTATTTTAAGCTACAAATGATCTATTTTCTTGCATCCTCTGTATAAAAGGGATTATTTAAAGGAGAAGAGGGGGCTGTACTAGGAAAATCTCAGTACAAAGCCTTATTAAGCACCAAGATTTTTGCTTCAGTTTGCTGAGCAGAGACTTCAGTAGTGGTAGAGCTATCTGAAACCTGTGACCAACAACAGCAACACTTCAGTCCATCCAACCAGGACTACAGGACCAGAGCCCTGCATGCCTGCAACCAAATGCAGTCAGCTCATTTGTTTGAGGGGCAGAAGAAGAATTTAAAGTAAAAACAGCTGGTCTGCTCTCACAGTGCATTTAAAGTAAGGCAGCAATGGGATGCTATCATGCACAGCATGCAGGAATGTGCCATTCTAATCCCCTTGCAGTTCGGGCTACCGTCTGACTGGGGGTATCTAACATGTGAAAGGCAATGGGAAGGTGCCTCCGGAAGCCCCATGCTATGCTGGAGCTCCACACAGAGTTCACCCTGGTCTTCAGTCCACCAGCAGCCCATCCATCTTCATAGAGGAGTTACAAACCCAAAAACATAAGATCTGGGACTTGGCCCCATGGATCCCCTCAGCAGGGAAAGTGCAGCTCACCAGACTGAACTCCATGACAAGCTCCAATCCTCCCAGCCTGCCCTCCTGACAGAGCCGCTCCTTCCATCAGCAGGGGTTGTTCACAAGGAAACCCTTCTGTCCTCCTGAGCTCTGCTCAGAGCTCCTGCTCGCTCCCCAGAACAAGCAGGCAAAGGACTACTGGCTGCCCCACACAAGGCACGTGCAGAACGGGGGCAGGCAGGGCCCTTCCCACAGGAGCAGAGCTGAACCATCACAGCACATCAGCTCTGCTCCTGTGACACTCGTGCAGGGCTCTCCCAGCTGCTCGTAATCACAAGCAGACCAGGTTTGCCTGGGAAGTCCTTCACATTAAGCACAGCCAGCTGGCTCGGGGGCAGCTTCCTCGTAGGCCGCTGTCAGAACTGCACTGAGCAGCACAGCATCGGGGCTGGCAGCTCTGGCGCTGATTTTCCCGTATGCACACAAGTGGGGAGAAACCTGCAGCACCCGCACTGAACGCCGCCAGCGCGCCCGAAAAGGTTTGAGCACCATTTCAGCTGGGTACTTACTTTTTCCACCTCGTCGCTCCAAAGCTGTGGGGACCACAGAGCAACAGGAAAGGAGATCAGTGTTGGAGACGTCGAGAGGCACTCAGCATTAACACCAACGGGAGGGACGCTCCGTGGACGCAGCAGGCCAGCTCCAGGGACAAGCCAGCCCTTCACCCAGCAGCAGCTGCCAGGCTCGTGCCCCTTCCCCTCACTCCTGCGTTCCTGAGCTCGGTTTCACAATGGGAGAGCAGGTCTGTGCCACCACAGCCAGCACTCCAGCTTTGTTCCCTGCCAGTGTTTTTGAGATAACTGCATTTAACGAGCTCCGGGAGAACCAGAACACGGTGGTGAAGGACAGCCCTTCTTTTAGGAGTGCTGTAAGGCTGGTGAGCTGCTTGAGCCCACAAATAGGGCCTGGGAATTCTTTGAGCTCAAGCCAGAGGCTAGCAATCCTCAGCCACCGGTCTAGAGAGCTCAGCTTAACGGGTTCAGAACAGGCAGCCTGCAGCTACCAGGGGCCATGTTCAGCTGCAGGAAAAAGGGAGCAACGGCTGGATGCTGCCTTCAAGCCAGGCAAAACATCAAGCTACTCTTTCTCACTCTCCTGCTTGGGTGTTTCCCTCCAGCCCTGCAGGTGAGAGCAGGCACCTCCTCAGACAGACTCCCTCAGAAGTCTCCCATCTCCTTTCAGTGTCTCCCACAAAGGCACATTTGGGGCAGCACAACACTGACAGCTGCTTGCTGGGATCTGGCTCCGGGACAAGAAACAATTGACAAAAGTCATGCATAGCGATGGGCAAGGGAGAAATGAGGTAGAAAAACACATTGATCTTTCCCAGGAGTCCTTGGCCTGGCCTTTCCTCAGCAGACAACTGCTCCTGAGCTCTGGCAACATGAAGAGATGCCATTAAGGCTTCCTGGAAGCACGCCAGCCTGCCAACAACATCCCCATCCATGGGGCGGAGGGAGATGTCCTCACCTGCTGCCTTTGCAGACCAGGTAAGTTCAGCACAGCACTGCTTGAGCACAGGTGGGATGCTGGGGTGTGAGGAGAACCCCCTCTGTTTAGGTCCAGGATCTCCCAGCTGAGCTTTGTTGCAGTTTGTTCACCAAGAACTGCCCCCAGGTGGGCTGTAGCAGCCCAGGTGCACAAACAACACCACCAGCAAAGTGAGGAACACCAGTGTTGCCACTGTGGGGGAATGGCTGGAGCAGGAAGCTGTTGATTCTGTTTTGGTTTCTGCTGGTTGACCTGTGGTTCTGCTCCTGTTTTGTGGTGAGTAGCCTGGTTGGCATCTCGTCTTTGTTTGGGCAGTTATCATGGCCGGTCCTCTGACTGCAGGCTGTCCCTGGTGCAGCACTCAGTGCAGTGGGGCCAGGTGCTTTCTCTGTCCTTCAGATGCATGTTTTGTTACTCTGAGTCACACTCTGACTCAGATGAGGCCCTGGGTTGTTCCAGCCATGCACAGGGACACGAGCCTCTGCCCTTCCTTGGTCTAAGAGCTCTTGCTCTGGAAGAGTGATGGAGGGAATGTCTTTGCAGGCAGCTGAGAAGCAGGTCCTGGCCTGAAGTGCTGCTCTGGCATGAGGCCTCCAGAACAAGACTTACTGGATGGCTGCAGGGGAAGCTTTTGGTCACAGGTCTTTCTATTTAGGTAGCATGGGCAGTGCTAAAGACATTTCAGACCCAGTTGATCCTTGTAATACTCGCTGAACTTTCAGTCAGTTTCACTTCTTTTTTGTCAGGCTTGCTGGCACGCTCTCCAGCTCTGAAGGCGCTTTGGGGCAGCCTGGCTCTGCCCAGATCTACCATACATCATGCAGTTCAGACTGCTCAGAGGGCAGAAGAGATGGCCACGATCTGTGCCTGTCTTTCCCCACCTCAGCTCAAGCCAGAGGAACCCTCTTAGGGTACTCAATATGTTTTTCTTGGAATCATTCCTAGGAATACACAGCATGGCAAGTGGCAGGGTCTGAGGGAAAGGGAGATTCCTTAAACACAAACAAAAGGTCAGTGTGGGAGAGAGGAGAAATTGCTCCTCGGCTTCCAACTTAAATAAAACTGGGCTGAGATAAGGGACTTGTATCCAGCTGTATATATTTCCAGCTAAGCCCTCCTGTTGCAGAAGGGAAAAATACAAGCACCAGGTTATCAACCTCTCCCCAGCAACAATGTGAGTTCAGAATCCAAATTAGAGTTCAGCTGCCCCTGCTGAGGTCATCTGGACCTGGGAAGAGCTGACCTGTTTACTCACCTGGAAACTGAAATTGTTACCTGGGCATAAGCAATCCCTCCCTCCAGAAGACAACAGGTTAAAAGTAAGGTTAACAGCAACGACTGCTCTACAACATGTGTGTACTGACAGAGAGGTGGTACAAAGGACTTTGGCCTGGGAAAAAGCAAGCAACAGTATGAAATGCTCCTACACCACTGCAATGTCTGACTCCTTGGAATGAATGCTGGGATTAGAGTGTGTGTTGCAGAGCAGTCCTGCCTGCACTGAGCTGGGGAGCAGTCGAGGCTTAGTCTGTGTTTTACTGGTTAGGGATTCCAACTGCTGTTTAAAGTCACCCTGCTTGTGCAGGCTGGATGCAAGATGGCACTCAGCCACCAGTTGCAAACTCTGAAAGAGGTATTTTGGAAGCCACAAGGACCACTGTTGGCTAGGCTGGGGCATTTTCCACTTGTGCAACCATCAAACATGATCAAAGTCAGTGCCAACTGCTTATCTAGAGCAAGTGTGAGCTAGAGCCCTGCTCTGAGCTAACTGCCCCTTGTTATTTCTGCTGTCAGAGCTTCCTTAGCAGAGCTCTGAACAGGGATCGTTGACCTGGGCAGAGATGTGACAGGGTGGACACCCATAGGTTAGCAAAAACCCAAATTCATTTCCCCTGTTGTTACCTTACTTGGCATCTGATCCTGCAGCAGCTTTGCAGTATAGCAAGCAGATCAGCCTGCAGTTAGGTGATGACTAGACTCATCTGACTGGACATCTGGGCACTCTGCAAGATGCTAATGCATGTTTTGCAAATGCTTTTCTTCAGGTCTGCTTTAGAAAGCTTCAAGGGATGATCAGGATATGCTGATCTAGTCAGAGCTATTCAGAGGCAAGGAAAGCCCAGTTTCTCTTCTGATTCTCCTAGAGTTCAGTTTTAGTCCATTACTGCAGTATCTGCACTGTCCTCAAACAGACCTTTCCAGCAGAGAAGCCACAGGCTGATGCTAGCTGCATGCTAGGAGAGATGGAAACTGAATAATTGCTGCAACATCACCAGTATCAGCTTCTTCCCAGGAAGTCTCATCACCCAGCCTGCTGAAATAATGTTCCAGTTTTGTGCAAAGCTATTTCTGATCCCAGCATCACTCTCCAAGAAGGTCAGGACATCCCCCTAGGAACTAACACTGATGCTATCAGTCCAGACATACCTGTTTCTCCAAATGGGATGGGTTCCCCATTAACCAAATCAGGCTTGCTACCATGAGGGCTTTGGTTTGCTAGTAGGCTGGGCCTACTGCATTTTTGTAGATCACCCTCCCCGGCCCTTTCAGTCCCAGGTTATTCTATTAACAGGCATCAGTGTTGTTCTGAACACTATTTAGGAAGCAAGATGATCAGTTTTCAACATTTTAACGAGAAACGTAACATTGTGCAATGGGGAGCCATAAACACAGCACAGAAAGTCAATCGCTTGACCACGACCACTCAGTGCAGTACAGTGGAGATGCAACAGGCTATAAATCCACCCCAGCATGTGCCTGCTTAATAGTCACCAACAGCAGATACCAGTAGGGTAGGTAATAAGTTGAAGGTAAAAAGAATTGACCTGTATTTGCAGAATAGAGAAGCCTGTACTGTCAGCCTTCTAGGTTACTGGCACCATGGGTGGCAGACTCTTTCACCTTTGCTTTTCTTGACTGGCCAGAAAGCCTCCAAGCACCAAAATGACTGGTCAGCTATCAATCATGCAATGTTGTCTTTATAAGGTTGGGACCATCCAGAAAGGCTAACGTTTGAGGGTTTTTTTTCCTTTCAGTTGCTCTACTAACAATAAAAACACTGTCAGAAGATTCCCATTGCAAATGTGGAAACAGGGAGAGAAACCAGAAAGCAAACCAAGCAGCAAAAGTGTCAGATCGTGATAACGCACTCCCAGAAGGGTGATCTGCATCCTTACAATTGAGTCAGAGGAACTCCAGGCATCCCATGTCACATTAAAATGTTGAAAACAGCAGAGCACCAGGTCTGAGATTTAGTCAGGTGGAGAGAGGGGCAGGAAGAGGTTGGGGGGGCAACATCTATGAGGAAGCAATCTTACCGCTGATGCGCTGGCGGAGAGAACGTAATTACGAGGTCTAGTCTCCTGAAAGTCAGGCACAGCCTAATAGGGGGAATAGAGTTTCATGTACAAGTCATGTAGAAGAGTTGACAGGAGTCAGCTGGGCAGCAGTTAGAATAAGGGGCTGCTGTTGTTTCCCCTCTGTGCTGGGAGCTTAGCTCTAATTCCCAGGATTGCAGGAGGGAAGTCTCCCCACAGTCTGGGCAGTGATGCTTGGAAATTGTCCCCAGGAGGAAGTTGGGTTTGTGCAAGAGGAAGAGGACAGGCTCATGCAGTCACATCTGGTACCTGAACAGCAGTTATTTCTGCTCTTATAAACTCCCTGGACTTAGAGCTGTTAGTTCATATAGCAGCCAGTTGGAGTGCAGATGCGACAGCACAATCCTGAATGTGATTCCCACTGCCTTACAGCCATGACGTTGCTCATCTTATGTTGGCTCAGTCCAGTTGACACGACCCTCTTTTCCCTTGCTTCCCATCTATAGTCCTAGAAATGTGAGGGCCTTGTCCTTGGAGAGGACACGATTACTAACATCACAGCATTCTTTCCATAGTGCCTTTTAAGGAGAGACATCTACTTGTTCTTACTTTCACCAAGCCTCTCAGCACGTTTCCACCTAACAGGCTCAGGTCTATTTTCTGTGAGGTGCATGGCATGACCAAACAAGATGGTTTTGCTACCACCAAAGGCAGCATGTAAGTCTTCAGCCTAGAAGTCAGAAATTCTCCAGGTCACCTTTTCAACAGCCAAGCCCCTACCCTGGCACACAAAGACTTAGCACTCCAGAGGCTTTCCTTGATGGGAATGCAGGGGATCCAGTCCATCTTCACACGTAGTGAGGGCTCATCAGCCATCATGGCGCAACCATCTTTTCAGTTAAGAAAAGATTAGGCCTCTTCCTAGAATGGCCTGTGGCTGTAATATCACCCAGAGGTGAGCCAACCTGCTAGCCTACCTTGGGGCCATCACAGCGATGGATAAAGCTCAGCCCTGTCAGCTCTTCCTGTGTCATGGGTAGGAGAGCAAGGTGGGCACACATGTCAGCTGTAACCCTGCTTCTAAGCCTCTCAGGCCCCACATTTCCTCTCCCAGGTTAATCTCTTTGCAGCTCACCCAGATCTACTTATACTGACTGACCCGATTAGCTGGGAGCTGCAGCAGCCCAGAGCAGCTGGGATGAGTGACTGGTGTATGGAAGAGCATTCAGGCAGTCCCAGCAAGAAGAGATTTTTCAACCATCAAGGAGTTTTGGGGATGTCAGGAGGAAGCAATCGGGAGGAGTGATTCCTATTTTAAGGATAAGGAGGAAAAATGCACCAGTGAAATCTGAGGCTAGCATTGTAACTAAACTTGACTCCTCTCTGTGGGGAGAGGAGATGTTCTCCAGGAACAACTTTTTGTTTGTTTGTTTTGTTTTTGTCTTAAAATCAAAAGCAAGTTAAGAAATCTCTCCTCCCTTTTCCTGTTTCTCCACTGAATCCCAAAACTAGTCACAGCACATGGGATGAAGGAGGCAAGCTCCTCTTGCACTCCTGTGCATGGGCAAGTTGTATTTGCAAGCAGTGGTGAAAAGAAACACCTCCCTCCCTTCTCCCCTCTTACAGTAGAGAAAATGGACAGAGCCCTGGAGCCTGAAGGCCAGAACAGCACCACAACCAGATCAACTTGCCTGTCATTGTCTCTGGACTGCCTCCCTTCCAGCAGAGGGACTCACCACCCAGATGACCTCCTCCTGCCTGGAGCCAGAGGAGCCTGAGTGCATCCTGGTGAGCCCCTGCCTCCTTCATGCACTGCTTGCAAGCAGTGTTCTGAATGCCTGCTCTAAAGGAGCTACAGGCAGCTGACAAATGCTCCCATCTTTTTGGGCAGCTCTCCCTGGCAGCCGCAGCCCTGACCAGTACATGCTCCAGGGCCACTACTGATGGGACAAAGGAGTTATGAATTTTCATTGAAAATGGGAAAGAGACAATGAGAGGTATTAAAGAAAAATCACAGCACCGTTAGCACAGTCAATACTCACATCTCCCTCACACTGAGCAAATTACAAAGAAACAAAACAAAAAGGTTAGTAAACAAAACAGCATCAACAGGAAGGACAAGGCACAAAGTCTGAGGGAAATGCACAAGCCCAGACACCCATACAGCAGCTTAAGGGTCTGGGCAGCAGCATACTTGGAGGTCAGTCACAAGACAAAAGCTGTGGGAACACAAGTTTTGCACTACAAAGGAGAACAGCAGCAAGAGAGAGGTGAGCTGGGGAAGGTGTGGTGCTTAAGGCCAGCTTGGATGGAGAGGTATGGCACAGGATTCCAGGCACGTTATAGGGAGCACTGCTCTAATGAGTTAACCTGCCTGATGCTGAGGCAGAAGTTCACCCTTCCTTGCCTTCACTTGTGCCTTGTCCCCTGGTAGGCAGTAAGGGGCCTTGAGGACTGAGGCCAGGGACTTCACCCTCAAGCTAAGCTGGGTCAGAGCTGGGTGCCCACAACAGCAGCTGAGGTCGCTCTTCTGTTGTGCTCTTCTGTGATCTGTTTCAAAGAAGCAGAGCTATTCAAGCACAGCTTGGAGAGCCTTAGAGTGGCTCTGCATCCTCTCTGGAGAGCATCAGCACTGCAGTTCCAGGGGGAGACCAGGTTTCTCTTCTCTAGCTACAGGAAATCTCCACCCAAGGGTCCTTCTACAGCTGAGAGGCCTTGGGATCACTTCATGTTGGAAGCAAGGTAAAGAGGAAGAGAGTAGAAAGGGAGGAAGCATACGAGCTCTCTAAATTCCTGTTCTGACTTAAGCCCAAGATAATGCAGCAGTCACTGCTCCCACTAGCAAGTCCTCACATCAACAGCCAGAGCAGTACAAGATGGCAATTTGCCTCAACAGGGTCCTTCAGGGAACCCATCTATGTCCAGCTGCATTCTCTCTGCCTCCTGCTACCTGGTCTCTGCCCAGAGAACAGCCCTGAGCTGACAGGTCTCAGCCTCAGAGACCTTTGCAGTCCTTATTCCACATCTTCATTTTTCAGGCCTGTGGGACACTGGCTTAGCAGTTCCCTTCTGCACTGTCCTGGGAGCTTCATGTTTACCAGCCATGAATTCTCCAAAGCCAGAGGGGAATACCAGCCTGTAACCAGACAGCACCATGAACAATGAGAATAGAGAGGCTGAAGTAAGGGCCTCTTGTTAGCCAGTCTGACCCTGGCTGCCCCTTACAGGCTGCCTCAACACTTCTGCCTGGGAAAGAGCAAATTGGCCAAATCATAACTAGTCTGAAATCCTGGGACTCCTGCAGAGCCCCAGCAAGCTTTCCTCTTGTACACCTTCCAGCTCAGCTCTCTCTTTGCTTGCTTTCAGGTCCCCAGGGAGATTTAGCAAGTCCTCAGAAGATATGGCCTTTTAGTTACTAACACAAATCACCCAGCTAAAACCCAAACTGCCAGGAACCATTGTCAGTCAGAAGACAGCAACATGGCTTAAGCGTGAGTTTCCAACCTCTGGCAGCTCAGAACTATTTCTTCCAATACCTTTCCCATGGAAGGGTATCTGAGGAACAGACGCGTTGTGCCTGCTCACGGTTCCCTTCCATGCCAGATGAGAAATGCTCTCACCTATGCCTGCCAGAGCCAGGGCATAGTAGGGCGGCCTGACTTCTGTCCAAAAAACTGCTCATGTGGGTCAAACCTTGTGGCCAGAAGGACAGGGGGAATGAGGGAAAAAAGTTACCGCTGCTTTTGCTTCTGCAGCTTTGGCTTTCTTCAACCTGGCTTTGCAGGCATCCAGATCCAGGCGGCGGTTCTGCAGGATCCTTCGCTCTTTCTGGAAGAGACAGAAAAGGGGATAAGAGAGGGTGATTAGGAGTTGCTGGGAAGGGAAAGGACCAATGTACCATTTGGTAATCAAGCCTATTTTCTTAGCAGAAAGTGCCTCTGAGAAACAAGCAGTTGCTATGTTCTTAATAGCAAGAGTTTTGTGCCTGCCTGTTAGGGATACTGTTAGGCTAACTTTCTGGAGAGAGGGGAGCCTGTGGGCTTGTGGTACCCACTAAACTGCAGGGGTCAAGAAAGGACTCACCTCCCTCATGCAGATCAAATAGCAATCCTTCCTTATGGCAATGGGAGCCCTAAAGAGAACCAGGATGGGCATTCCTCCTTCCTTGTGTTATCCAAGGAGAGAGATGTGAGGTCTTCCTTTCTCATAGGGAAGGAGAATGCACTTTTCCAGCACTACATCCCCCTTCCCCTGCCCTCCTTGTCTCTGATAAGGTGATGAGCTCCCCCTTCCCTGCTCCCACACTTACAGATATGGTTCGCCAGTCCCCTTCCAGGAAGTTGCGCAGTGGTGTCAGGAAGTTGATGGAGGCAGAGTGGATGAAGTCCCGTTCTGCTGCACCTAAGCGCCTTTGAGTCTCTCCAACTTTTATCAAGGTCTTCCCTGCAACAATGGGAGCCTTCAATTCCAGGAGAAACCAATTAACAGTGCATTGGCCTGAGCCAGCTCACCCACTGTGACCAGGCTCCAGTGCTGGGGAACACAAGGGACAGTGTACCATGCCTGGATAAGGTGACCATGCCCATACCACAGCTTTAGTCTTAACTTCAGTCTGCCTTTAACTTCTGACCCCCCCTCAGCCACTCCCAAATGCAGCTTTGATCTTACCTATCTGCTGAGGCACTTATTCCCTTCATGTTCTTTTTCTGCTACACCTGATTAGACAGTATAATCTTTGCCTTATAAACAGAAGCACAGGAACAGAGCAGCAAACTAAAAGCACCAGAGCAGAAAAAATGAGTTGATTAGGATCCAGTTGAGGCAGTGCTGGCTATAGATGCAGTTACAGCTGTTCTGCCTGTAATAGGGTTTGCTATTGAATAATTATTGATTTGGAGAGCCATAACAAAGCTCATAGCAGAAAGCAAGGACAGCTGGAAGTTAAGGCTGTGCTTCTGTGCAGGTCTGCTGCTTGAAGAAGCCCTAGAAAGGGGGAACTGTTGTGATTTAGGAACAGAAAGATAAGCTGTATGATCAGTAAGGGGTCTGTTAAGGCTTGTAGCCAAACACTGACCTTCCCAAATATGTTATCCAGTTCTCTTGCTGGAGAAAGATTTTATTCACACCCTCCCTCATGGGACACACTCAAAGGAAAAATTCTCAGACTGGAGAAAGCTAAGGCCATTTCAGTGCAACTCCTTGTTCAGGTTAATTTAGAAAGTCATGGAAACAGCATCAAACAGCTTCTGTCTCCTGCAACTAGTTCCACTGGCTACTACAGATCAGTATGTCTTTGTTTCCTCTCTAGCTCTGTCAGGCTTGAGGATTGTAGAAGGGATAGGGAGAACCCCGTCCTCTTTACCCATCAACAGAGGATGTTTTGCTGCAGAGTAGGACTGCTTTTCTCTTCCTGGTGGGCTGTTTGCTGCCGTAGTAGAGCAGACTCTCCTCTTGCAACAGTGCTGATAAATCAATAGGCAGGATGCCACGGGTGGAGCAGGCCACCCTGCTTCAAGAGGCATGCTGTGGAAGTCTTAACCAGAACAGCAGTGGGGCTACCCTTTAAGGAAGTGATGGATTTACAGGGCTTAGGCAGGCTGACTTACCATAAGGTGTCCCTGGCCCAAAGTCATTAGCTGCCTCTGTCATGTACTGTGCCAGCAGCTCCCCATTGGTGACCCGGGAAGGAACCTTCCGGTCAAGTTTCTCATAGAGGAATTCTTCTACTCTGGCACCTGAAATGAGTCACCAGTGGTTACAGGATGGAAGATGGAGAGACCCCTGGAACCGTCATTCATGGTGGCCAACCCCCACAGTCCTCAATCGTGCACTGAACAGCAAACACCAGCTCTGGGAGAAGTGTTCCCACCCTTCCAGCCACCTCCCAGCCCTCAGGCACACTGCCAGACTGAGCAGGGCAGCAGCCACCCACCTTCTATTACACAGAGAATGAAGGACAGGTTCCACAAAGATACACTTCTAGCTCCAACAACCCATTGGAACAGGGCTTTCTGCCAGAGGGCATGTCCTAATACTGAGGTGTAAGTGATGTCTGTCCTTCCAGGATTAGAAGTTGGACTTACTAGGGTTTGGCTGTAGCAGAACTTCAGTCTGGCGTAAGATCTTCTCTGTCCAGTTCTTAGTTGAGTCTGCCCTAGCCAGGAGGTTTTCAAAGTGGGCATCTAATTCAGTCTTCTCAGCCTGGCCCAACTTTTCCTCTGTAAACTGCAGGAAAGAGGTAGTCATTAGAAGGTCACTTTTACTAAAGCAAAATTATGATATGCTACAGAGCTGTTAAGAGCCACCAAGGGCTGCGAAGCCTTCAAAGCACCATTCTTTGTTATCAGGCATCTTTCAGGGGAATTGAGCAATTTTTTTTACCCAAAAGTAGAACAAACATTGAGCTAAAAATAGAGCCTGTGTTTGAGCAGTGTAAGAATAAGTAACTTTTATAGAGGAAAATAGTCTGGTACATAATATTCTACTTGTGAGAAATCTATTTAAACAGGCACGTGGCTTGCAGTACTTCATGCTGGAGAGCAACATACACCCCCCAGGTGAGGCGAGGTGTTGTTTCCCTTTACCTCCTCCTAAGCAGTCCTAAGTTCTGCAAACCCGATAGGACCAGAAATGCTGCTACCATCTCACAAGCCAGGCTCTATTCCTCTCTTGTTGGACAAGCACATGCACCATGCCTGCTTCACTGCAGGGCTCGTGCCTGCCCACTCAGCCATCAGACTGAGTTCACCTCCCAGCTCGCCTCCTGCCTTGCTGGCAGTGAGCTGTTGACTGAGCCTGTGGAGCTTAGGGAGCCTTAAACTCAGGATTTAGATAGAAATGCTCCCAGCAAGTGATAGTTCGATGCTTCCTCTAGGATACGTGGTGGCTGGGTGGGTTCTGACGCAGGGCATTAAGAAATATAATGGCGTCCAACTTTTCTCAGCACTCAGATTCCTACTGGCAAGAGACTCTCACTCCCTTCCCAATTCCCGTAGGTATAAAACTAGCAGCAGGGAAAAGCAGGCTGTGCAGTGCTCTGCGTTTTCATAGTGGGCAGTGGCACCTGACAGAAGATTTGTCACTCTGGAAGCGCAGTGTCAGATGGCCTGGGCACCCCCTGTTGCTTCCTTGGGAGACTTCTGAGAGAAGAGCCTATTCCCTCTCTTCCCAATCCCATACTTCATTTGTCCCAGTGAAGCTGTCCAACTTCTCATTTTTAAGCATAATTTCCTGCTCTTGATGGAACCGGCATCTTGCTAGATCACACTAACAGACTCTCGTGCTACTTGGGACCCTGTTGAGGCTGCACTTGTCCTTTTAACCCTTGTTGTTGGCTCCTGGTGCCACTGCTCAGTTATCAGGATGTCGTACTGCACAACAGCTGGCACAGTCAGGTGCCAAGGGATTAAAGCCTGGCCAAAACTCTCAGGTGAAATACAACTCCTGTCTAATTGCCGCTTGCACTTTCTTTCCACACCTCACAGCTCAGTTCTAGATGGCTAACAAGCTCATTTCATGGGGTTTTGGTCTTCTGAAAGGCTTTGTGGCAAGCTCCGCTCCCACAGCATTGGAGGAAGAGCTGCCCAACAGCTCCATGCATGCATATCCAGGACAACGTTGGGAACAAGGTCAGAAAGAGCAAGCCAAGGGCCAGCATGTGAGGCAAGCAAACAAGCACTTAGGAGCCTTGAAATCAGCCATGTGCAAATATTGCTAGATGTCCAAGATAGGCAAGTCCTGCAGGTATGTTTGCACAGTGACCTGTTTGGGTAAGATTCAAGCTAGAGCCAGGAAACTTTTGTCACATGTCTGTGGTGAAGGATGCTGAACTGCGAGGATGGCTCCATTCCCTCCTGCAGCCTGGTGAGGACAGAGGAGTCTCACCCAGGCATGACCAGGCTTTGCTTCATTGGTCTCCTTCTCAGCACCAGCAGCCTCTGGTTACCAGTGTTTATTTTCAGCTCATTCTTGCCACAGCCCTGTGGCTGCTGCTGGACATGGCTAAAAGCTGATCCAAGGTGAGAGGGTGTTTGTATTGCTTTGTGTTCAATTTCTATGATTGTCTCTGGGGGACACACAAGGCTATCAGACGTGTGTGAGCAGCTGAAGCTTTTCCTCTGTCGCTGTTGGAAGCTTGGGGCTGTTTTCAGACTCTGCCAGGCAGGGCTGAGTCACTGCCATGCAGCAAACTGGGACTACCCAGGTATTTGGCACCAATACTGGAGTCATCTGTTTAAGAGCTTTCTTAAACAAGCCAAGTCTCTCTGATGCAAGCATAACAGTCTCCCTTGCCCCCCTTTCCCAGACAGCTTTTTGAGAACTCATCTCTTTCAAGCCCAGCTCTTCTTCTTCCTGCAGTTCAAACACATCCTGCACCAGCATCTGCCCTGGAGCTGTCAGCCCAGCCCTGATTCCTCATCAGCTGATTTCAGCCTGCTTCTTACAGCACTGCTGCAGAGTCAGATCACTGTGAAGCTGTGATGGATGCCTACCTGTGCGACCTGGTGTAGGGAACCTGCTTTGGCAGGGGGTTGGACTCGATGATCTCTGGAGGTCCCTTCCAATCCCTACAATTCTGTGATTCTGTGAAGCCCTCCACGGTGCTATAGCCAGGACCTTGAATCAGTTCAGCCCTGGAGAGCTTTGCTATAGTCACAAGCAGCAGCTCCAAGCATCACTGTACTTCACTGTTTTCTGCAGCCTACCCTTTCTCCTGGTGCACTGGAAGTATGGATCACTATGGAGCATTTGGTCAGAGAGCAGCCAGGATCCATAGTCATTCTGTTCTTATCTCACATTAAACACTATAGCTCTTTGTCTTGCACAAGGGTTGAGGACACATCACGGTCACTGCAAGCCTAGGCTATGCCAGAAGGGGAGGATGGGCAGGAATCTGAGTCACACCCTGCAGCTCCAAAGGGTCAGGCCAGAAAATTTCTTATTCAGGCTTTGTTTCAGGCTCGAAAAACAGGGCATGAATGTTATGAAGTGGGTGCAAGAGCATGGGATGCTGCAGCTCACACACAGTGAGGCTGTTACTCCACTTCCAACCTAATTCCCTTAATGCCTCCCTCAGCCCTACCTCCAAGTTGGCCATGCTGCAAGGTTCAAACTTGGGCAGAGCCTCAGGGCATTGGGCCCACCTTGCTGTGGATTGCTGCAGGTGCCTCTTCCCTCCCCCACAGCACACTTCTGTCTCCTCACCTGCACAGTCTGACAACCCTGGAACTGTGTAGAAAGTTGTTGATTCAGCTCACTTCTTCTCTAATATGACTTTTCAGGTGGAGCTGAGAACTCACAGCATTACTGGGTGAAGGGGAGAGCAGGACCACCTCTTTCAGCAGCAGCTTGCAGCAAGATCACATGAAAGCAACAGCCAGCAAAGGAGATTAGAGGTAAATTACACTGCCTTATCCTATGAGCTGGTTCTCTCATGTCTGGTGCAAGTGGAGATCTGAGCTTTCAGGTGGCAACAGGTCTCAGCTGCTGATGCCCTTACCTGGCTGCCTAAGTCAGTGTTGCCAGGGAAAAGCAGGGTAGAAAAACAGCAGTTTGTGAAATCTGGTTGCTCAAGTGATCCAAGCAAAACTCCTCCACACAAAGGATTTTTGTTGCTAGGAATTTGTTTCTATAACACTCACAAAAATTTGATTGCATTTTTCCTTCCCACTGGACAGATATAAGACTCCACTGTGAGGCTGTGAGATGCAGGGGAACAGACAGGCTCACCATACAGTCACAACCCTTAACTGTGAAAAGGCAGACTGAAAATATTTTGGATCTTGCTGCTCCTGTACCAGAAGCACAGTTGTTTTTTTCCAGCTCCAAATACATCAGACTGGTACAAATGGGAACCTTATTTGGTTGTACTAAAGTTGCCCTAAAGGCTTGGTGCAAAGCCTGTGCAATTGCAGTGCCTGCAAAGAACCATAAACTCCTCAGTCCTGCTGAAAGAGAACTATTCCCACTTGTTTTCTAGAACCTGGTGGCTGGAGAAACAGCCCTGCCCTGAACCAGCTCCAGGATCCTCGTCCTGGGATCAGGTAATGGTGCTGTGAGACTTCCTGGTTTTGCTGTAAAAGAAACATTCCTGCAGCTGACCCAGTTGAGCACCAGTTCTGTTTTTGTGCAGGGAAGCTGATGAAGTGATTAATAATGCAGGGCAGCCTTTTGCTGAGTGCCATTCTCACTCTCCAGGAAGAAGAGAGTCATGCTGCATTCCAGGGCATCAATAATTCAGCCAAAGGTTGGGTTTCCTCTGGGAGGCATGGCTGGCCAGCAGGAATGCTACCTGCATTATCCGAGACCAGGTGGACACACAAGCTGGCAGATCAGGAGAGCAACTTGGGCAACAGGCAAAGATTACAGACAGCATAGCTGAGCTGGACTACAGTTAAGGCAGCTACATTCACAGCTTGGGGAAAACTGCTCTTTCCCTGTGAGAGCAGTTAAAGACACTGCTGGGAATTCAGGAGAGTGAGCAAGCAGAGCTGAGCTGGATGTGTCCCTCTGCACTACAGCTGTGCCTGCAGCCTACCTACTTAACGGCCACCAAGGTTAGGCTTTAAAATAGTACATACATTGTTTTCCTTGCTGAAAGCATTAGCACCTTCCTCTCCTTAAAGGCAAAGGGAATAAACCCCACTGCTGCCACATCTGTTCTACACAGTGCAGCCTGACTGACTGCTGTCTTCCAGGCTTGTGCAATTTCCCCTTCAGCAGGCCCAGGCTGGTATGCTGGCAGCTGTCAGGGTGGCTGCAGCCCCCTTGCAGGGCAGCTGGTGGCAGAATTCAGGCCTTTATCCCACTTGCAGGGTCACAGCTTTTTCAGCTGAACATTATTTATGAGGCATCATTACAGGGTGATTGTATTCCACCTTAGGTCATAAGGATCGAACCAGAGCCAGGAGTCTGAAACCAGGAACTGTCTGCTGCACCTGCCAGTGCATTTGGGCCATTGGATTTTCTGAAGCATCTTAACATGTTTTTTCATGCCCAGAGTATATTAATATTTGCACTTCTGGTGATCAGAGATAGCTGAACTGATTCTGCCATAAGTCTACCTCCCATAGGGCTGCATTAGGAAAGAAGCCTTTGCCACTTAATCAGCACCTAAAAGTTATCTGGATCTCAGCTGCTTGAGAGTGTTTGGTCACTGGGAGTCAGAAAAGCTAGGCTATGGGCCAAGTAAAATTGTGCTAGAGGACAGAAGGAAGCCATTAACAGGACAGCTTTGTTAACTTAGGAGCAAAACAGTGAGGAAAGGATGCAATCCTTCCCTTGTGTATTAACGGACATGTTTCTAATGCAAACATGCTCTGTCTTGTGCCTCTTGCCTTCAAAATCCTCTCCTGAAGTCACCTTCTGTACTCTTGATTTTTAAGGTGTCCAGTAGCCAAGGCGTTATCGCCATTAAGGTCAGAAAGCAGAGGGGAAAAGTCTACTTTATCACCAGAGTTCAGGGAGGTGGAAGAGTCCATCTTTCTCCAGGAGCCTTAAGATGGAGCAAGTCAAGATATAGCTGCTAGTGGTAACTTCAGTCAGCACCCACTGACTTTCCATCAGAACTGATAGAAGACAGACACCTACAATTATTTCCAGACATCCCTCAGAAAATCTGGCTTGCAGCCTGTCTAGAGCAGAGACATCCAATGTGTCACCTTCAGAAGAATTGATGCTAACTTCTACAGGGAGGCCAGAACTGCCACCATAACGTTCTCTGAGGAGGTTTGGGATCAAGCCCATTTACTGATAACTGGAAGATGCAGGTGACCAAAAAAAAAGTTTTATTCTCCTTCAGTGAAGGTAAGAATGTGTGAAGCCTGTGTGCAGGTGCCAGAGCTGTTAGGGATGTAACTGCATCCCTTGGAGGATGCTAACTAGATAGCGGCAGCTGGTGAAACAAGTGTCAGTATAGTAAATCCTCATCTGGGATTCTGAATCCTAGAAAAGCTTTAATCCATGCAGTTGTACAAGCCTAGGAGTTTATTTCCCACTCTCATGGCATCAGAGCTTACAACTACCCTTTTCCTAGAGTTTAGCTTGTAACTGCTCTGCTTTTGTGATGCATTTTCTGAGAGCATAAGAGATGCCATAAAGCCTGCAGGACACTGCCTTGTGGGGGATTACACAGCCTGTTAAGATAGCTGCATACACAGCTATGGAGAAACCCTGCACAGCTCCTTCCCCATGGCTGTGTGTGCCCTGCTCCTGTTGCATCCCCTGTTGTGTCCCCTGCTCCAGGGGAGGGCAGTCCAGCAAGGTGCCCCGATTCTCCTCAGGTAGGAGACTGGGTACGTGGTGCCTGAGGTAAGAAAAGCCATGTAATGGTGGCAGTGGTTTGCTAAGGTCTTTTGTCATGACCCAGCTTAAGCCTAGGCCAAAAATCCTTCCTGCCCTGTAGCCAGCACCTACCTCAGGTTTTATCTGGCAGGTTTCAAAACTGGGACTGCAGCTGGACTAAGCCTCTGGGAATCACTCCAGAGGTGGTTTCCGGGCCACATTCTGCCTCCTTTTCCCCCCTCACTTCAGAGGGCTCAGCAGTGCTACAGCCCTTTTTTTCCATACAAGGTAAACTGTCATGCGCTGGCCAGACACCTCAGCCAGACAGCAATTGCTAATGCTGTCTGAGTGGCACAGCACATAATGGCCAGTCCATTTATCTCCCAGTTGCTGCAGTTCCAGTAAAGCAGCATTTTGTTAAACGCCTGGAGCTGAAGAAAGCATCCCCAGAGCTAGAGAAAACTGAGCTTATTCAGCCAGGTCTTATTCATGGGGAAAGAAGATCTTCTGTGCTGAAGTGGCTGCTACAAACCCAATCTTCACCGCCAACAGCAGACCGTACCTGCTATTTCTGGCTCTTGGTAGTGGCAGAGCAGTGCTCACCCATGCTGGATGAGGACTCTTGGGGACAGCCCAGATGGGCCTGCTTAGCCCAGCGATCACTTTTCAGAAAGTGGTTCTCCATCTCAGTGAGGCCATTCCTTCCAGCCTCCTTGGCTTGCACAAACACATGCATCCTGCCTACAAGTAACAGTGACCATTTTGTTTCAAGTAATTACTACTGTAACTACTCACATTAATATTCATATGCAAGATGATGTGGAGTAGGTGTAGCAAGCAGAAGCCACTACTTATAAACGCCTCCTTGCTCTAGAATCGGTGTGCAGACACTGCTCCTGTGCCTGTCTCCTTCCTACGCCTGGAAGCTGAAAAACCACTTATCAGGGACTTAGAATACATCTTCCAAACATGCGATTTCTTTACAGTATTTCTTCCTTTCTTCTGCTACCAAGGCCATTTGCATGAGAACAGCATCTTTAAACCTTCCATCTGCTCCTTATTTTGCACCTGTAGTTAATATTTATTTCTTCATAACATATGACTCATTGGCAAGATTACAGGAGATGGTATCTGTTTACAGGAGACCAGTTTCTAAAAGAGCCAGGATTATTCCACTGCACAGGCCATTTGGAACGAGACAGCGCTGCTCTGTTTGTTTGTCAACCCCCACAGCATGGGCAGAACAAGAAGCCCAGTCCCAAAATCACCAGCAGGAGTTCAGCTCTCAGGCAGGATGCCAACCAGCTCTGATTTGCCCCTCTCCTCTCTTGCCTGCCCAGGGGCAGTTTCCCAGTTACACCTGAGGAGCAGGCAGGCTCAGCAGCCACCTCTCAGCACCTGCTGCACACTTTATTCCTCACAGCTAGCCAAGTTTCTTCAGTCTGTGGTTTTGGGACATCACTGCATCCCGGGCAGGCTCCTGATACCGATGGTTTGATGCCACTTTAGACCAGTGAGACATTGCCTGCTCGGTCTCAGCAGCCCCTTCCCATCTCCGACAGCTCTGTGTTTTGTCGGGTCCTGGCAGCTTCTGCAACCTGACCTCCTGGACGACTGAATTGCCAACCATAAAACGCCACTTCCACCCACCTGCCTGACAGAAAGGCACAGACCCCCAGCAGGCCAGCTCACCTGCCTAGGTGCAGTTAACAGCTATCTACAAGATGTAAAAATAGCTTAAGGATAACAACCACAGTGCAACCAGCATTCACCCCCTTTCCCTGCCTCAGTCCCTGCTGCAGCCAGAAGCATCCCTGCTGCTATTGCTCCTTTATGGAGCACTGCCTGGCCTCCCCACCCAGCCCAGGAACACAGCAGCAGCAGGGTTCAGCTCTGCTCCTGCTGCACATTACCCAGCACTGCTCACTGCAGATATAGCTATGCAAGACTCAATGCCAGCCCCAAATCCCTTTTCAACCTTCAAGAAAGCTGGAAAAAAAACTAAAACATAGCAACAAAACTGCCCTAAGCCTGTAACTTGTGTTTTAGAAAGGCTCCCTGTGCAGATCCTGGGCTGTACAGTGCGGGATGCTCCGTGCCCTGAGGCAGAACGGAGGAACGGGGAAGACGGCTGCAGGCCAGCGGGGGGAGCAGCCCAGGGCTGGGGCACCCTGTGGTGCTTCCCCTCCGGGCCCAGGGACTCCCCCGCCCCCAGGGCTCCCCACCCCCCCAGTGTGCCCCGTTGCCGTGGCGACGCTCCAGCCCCACCCTCCCAACCTGCATGGCGCGGGAGAAGAAGACGCCCGCATCCGACGCCAGCTTCTTCACGTTGAAATCCATGGCGATCAGCACTACCGCAGCCACCTCCGCCGCGCCCCCGCTGTCACCGCACCCGCCGCTCGGACCTTTATAGCACCGATCGATGCTTTCCCCGAGCGGCGCCGCAGCCTCTTAAAAGGGCTCTGTCTCCCAGGTGGGGCCCCAGGGCTCAGAAACAGCCATGCGGGCTGCGTGGTACCCAGCGGGCAGCGCCGGAGAGTAGCGTTACACCGCTGGCTCTCGGCCGGGCCTGGGGAACCGGGCTGCGGCTCGAGCGGCGGGAGTGTCTCGGGGAGGCGCGGCCCCTTTAAGAGGGGCGGTGGCCGCGGTGGGAGCTGTCAGCCGGCACCCAATGGGTGCTGGCGCCGCCCGCCGCCCTCTTCGCTCACCGCTCAACCGCACTCGGCGCCGCAGCCTGCGGCCGGGCCTGCGGAGAGCGCCCCGATTGGTTCGCCGGAGGGACGATCGCCACTCTGATTGGGTAGGAGTGCGGAGGGGCGGGGCTTCAAGCCTCGTTCAGGGTAGGCTGCGGCGCGGGGGAAGGAGACGCTGCCCTTCCGCGGCCATGGCGCGCGGCGGGGGGAACGGGGCAGCGAGCGGGGCCGGGCGCCCGCGGGTCGCGGTGAGTGGTGTCGGCAAAGCACATCTGCGGGAGCTGGGTGGGCCGCACCGCTGCGTCGTGGGGGTCAGAGACGGGAACCTCACCGAGTAGAAGCGGTCCTAGAGGTGGGGGGGATGCGCTGGGTGCAGGGAACGTAGGGATGCCCGGGGTGCGGGCGGCTCAGGGGTCCCTGAGCTGCAGGAGGGCCCGTGGGGGCAGTAGGCCCGAGTGGTGCCCCAGGGATGCCAGGTCCCTGAGCGTCCAGAGGGGTGCAAGGGGCACAGGGGTGCTCGGGGGTACGTTTGTGCGGGGTTGTGGAGATTGGTCCAAGGATGCAAACAGCCCAGGGAGCTCTGTTTGCAGGGCTCCAGTTTACTGCAGTGGGGCATCCCGTAGGGAGCATCCTGAGATGCCCAGGGGAGCAGGGCAGTGCTCGAGGTGTAAATGTGTTCTGGTAGGGCCAGCATTGCTTTGCCTTGAAGGACAAGGACAGGCAAGGTTTTCCTTGGCTTTGTGCTGTGTCCCCACTGCCAGTCAGGTGTAGTAACCTGCAGGCTGAACAGTGTCCCCTGGATTCTTTGTACTTTGCTCGTCTTTGTTCTGCTCTAGCCAAAATGTTACATTTAACCTTGTTCTGCAAGCTCCTGATACTCTGGTCCCTTGAGACTGTTGCCAAATGTGGCTCCTTAAGGGGCTGTGCCAGCCCTGGAGGCTGCGAGGTGCAAGGTTGCAATGTGATGTGGTCAGGTAGATGCAGGCTTATCACGTGGCTTTAAAACATGGGATGGGTTTCACTTGTCGGTGTGGGAAGGCACCTGAAAAGGCACCAGAGTGCTGCGTGGCAGGAGCGTGGCTGCACACGGGTAAGGGCAGTGTTTCCAAGTGCACTGATGTGAAGGCTGGCCTGGCTGGGAGAGCAGGACTAAAGCATTTATAACTTTGTGGTGGTTAAAAGATACTTCTCTGGTTTCAATGCATCTTTTTTTTTTTTTGTACCTCTGTCCTTGACATGAAGCAGGGCCCTGCTTCCTGGCTTCCAGCACTACTAAACTCAGGTTGCTTTGAAACCTCCTGGGAGAAATTGCCAATTGTGAAATAAGCCTTTGCTAAGTAGCTCTTTACAGTGACAGAATCAAGGGCTAGTAGTTTTGCTGATTAAGGTGCATATGTGGTTATTTGGAATAATCATGTTATTTATATGTGTTTTTTTTTTGTTTTGTTTTGTTTTACATGGGAGCTGCCAAAAGTTCTGTCCAGCCACACGCAGCCCATTGCAGAGCATGTGCAAATCTCTGGCACAGCTTCAGCTTTTGAGTGCAAGGACCCTGCTGCCACTGTAGAGCAGTTTGTGAACCTTACCCCTGTGTGAGAAGCAACAATTGCTGCTATGGATGGGGAGATGCTTTAAAGCTCAGGTTTGGCTCTAGCAGCCTTGTTGCCCTGAGTGAGCTGGTGTGCTGTTTGTGAAGTGCAGTACAGGGAAGTACAGGCTGTGTGTTACCTTCACTCACCTGATTCTTCCCTCCTCCTTCAGAATTGCTGGATGAAGGCTGACTCCAGGACACTGAGCTCGATGTCAGATGAAAGCTGGATTTCCGTGTGAGTGGCTCGCACAGCATCCATCCACAAGTGCCCTTCCCCTTCGTGACTCCTGAGGTGCTGAGGTCATCCTTTAGCCATGGCATTTAGAAGAACCGAGGGAATGTCCATCATCCAGGCCTTGGCAATGACTGTGGCGGAGATCCCCGTGTTTGTGTACACAACGTTTGGACAGGTACAACAAGAGAAAACTCTTTTCCAGCTGGTTCCTTGGGCTTTGTCTCTGGAGATTGTCTGCCAAGAAAGAAGAATCCGTGTTAATTGAGAGGAATAGAGGCATGATGGTGGGAAAACCTGTCTGTTTAGTTTGTATGTAGGGGCCAGGGTAGTGAGGATGGATTTGGAGTAGGGTGGGAGAAGTGTTTCCACATCACTCTGTGGGACAACGCCTGAATTCCAGCTTTCTTCTCTTCAAGGGCACTAAGTGCATATATACAATTAAAGATTATTGGTATATTTTCCATTTGTAGTAATGCAGTGTTTGGGGTAGTAAAGGTCAGCTACATACCAGGGTTTCAGAGCTGAACCTGGGTGACTCAGGTCTCGTCTGTTATGGGCTGTTTGTGAATGTTACAGCTTGTTTTGGCAATGAGAATTGAGACCAATTTCCCCAGGTTCCATCACATTGGTGCTATGCAGTTTCTCTCCTGTTAAGCTTCAGCTGTGTAGCAGATAATGGGAGGAGTCCTATGGGTGGGAGGGGAAATGCCAACGTACATTTCAGGTATCTCATCTTTACAACTGCTTAAAATTAAAAATACACATATATTAAAAGAAAGGATGGTAGACTTTGGTTTTTCATTGTTGCTCTTTCGTATCTTTTGTGTTTAAAGTCTGTCTTCTCTCAGCTGCGGCTCTCTCCAGGCCTACGTAAGGTACTGTTTGCTACAGCTCTTGGGACAGTTGCGTTGGCTCTTGCAGCTCATCAGCTGAAGCGACGTCGTCGCCGAAAGAAGCAGATTGCTCCAGAGAAGTGTGGCTTTAAGCCTGGAGGCGTCACAGTGCCCATTCTGCCAACCAGAAGGGTCTCTTCTGTGAAGAAAGGTTGGTCTTGCAATAAAAGGGAGACCCCAAAACCATGTAGCAAGGGAGTGTAGAGAATATTGCTGAAATAGTGTTCAAAGAAAGGGGATGTATAAGCAGCAGTGGGACCATAGAACGTTCCTGGTAAGTGGGCAGAGAGGAAAGAAAAGTGATTTCTGTGCACTAATTGATGTAGAATTGAATTAGAGATCTGAAGCACAGTGCTATGAACTAGTGCAGGAAAGGGAGAGATGCTAAGCTCAAAACCTTTGTGACTGGGGGAGGGGAAGTGACACTGAGGTTTTCCCTAAGGCATGTAGTTCCCATCCCCCTGTCCACACAAAGTCTATAGACTTGTTTTGCCATGCCTCCCTGATAATAACAGCCTGGGGCACACCATGACCTGGCTGCATATTGACTTTGGTGATGCCTGTGGGTGCTGTGTGCAGCTGCATCTGCCTGGGGCAGCATGGAGAGGGTGGTGGCCTAGCTGTGGGTCAGGAGTGTCTGTCCCAGCTGCTGAAGCTCCCACCTTGGGCAGCTTCTTCACCCACTTGTATTGTTTGTTCAGGATAAGGCTGACCCAGCTCCTCATTAAGCACTGTAGGGGAAAGAAATAAAACAACAACAAAAACCCTTGAAGCATGCTAAATAACTATGGAAGCACCATTGTTTGTGCTATGTCCGTGTTCTGCCCAGCCTAAGGGAAGCTGGAGGAGTTTCTCCTTGATGCTTTCCATTTGTGCTCGCCTCCTACCATCAAAGACAATGCAAGTTCATTCCTCAGCCTCAGGTCCCTTTATAGCAACTTGCTTTGTGTCTAGAACAAAATAGACCGTAAAGGAGACGTGACTCATTTCTAGGTATTGGATGCTGCCTTGCCTATCTGCGGTCACGCTTGACAGGGCAACATTCCTCTCCTTAAACCACAGCTGCAGTGAATCTCTTTTGCTTTGTGCCGGGTTTTCCTGTGACTGCTGTAGTTTCTCATGTGGACTGCACGTTCTGTAGCTTGCAGGGTTCCCATGCCCGACAGCATTTGCTGTGACAGGAGAGCCTGTCTCCATCCCCTGCATGCACAGGCCACCAGGTTTAAAATCCTGTTTTTGTGTGACCTTAACTTCAGGATACTCCAGCAAGAGAGTCCAGAGTCCCAGCAGCAAAAGCAACGACACGCTCAGCGGGATCTCCTCCATCGAGCCCAGCAAACATTCCAGTTCCTCCCACAGCCTTGCCTCGGTAAGGACCTTCTCAGAAGGGTTGAGAGAAGCAGGGGTGACAGATTAGTGCATCTCCGTGTAACAAGATCACCAGGTCCATGGGCTTGTGCTGGCTGATGGATAATGCCAAGATTCTTGAAGTAGGAGAGGTTACGGTGTAACTGGAGGGCAGTCTTGTTGTAATTCAGCAGTGATGGTCTGGAGCTGTCTGAGGCAGGCATGCCTCCAGAATCATAGCAGTGTTTTTTTCTGACCAAGAGCCTCAGGGTGTCTTTGGTCAGCAAGAGGCTGTGGAGGGACTTGTGTGTGGGATGCAGCCATGATTCCTTCAGGCTATCTATGCCCTTCTACAGGAGCAAGAATGAATTGTTACTGGAACTTGCAGCGGTGGGAAATTTGTTTCCTTCTGTAGTGGGGTGTTAGATGGACCAACCCTTGTGTCATTGCAGCCCTTCTGCCTCTATACAGGCTACTCAAGGTTGTTCAATTTTTAAAACCACATTAACTTCCAAAAACAGATAGCTCTGTTAATGAAACAGCGCAGGCTGGGACGCAGCCCAGTGGTTCTACGTCCTTCAAAGCAGAAGCTGTCACTGTGTATATCCACCTCTTGTGAGACCAAAGGCAGAAACGCTGGGGAATGTTTGTGGCTTCAGGGCCTGTTTGATATCCTCGCTGCTAAAAGCTGGAGCAACAGGAGGCACAAGTGAACAGCAGCTTCCAACACCATGATGTGCCACAAAACTCCTTGGCATCAGTTGCAGGAGCACTTGTGCTTGGTGTTTCACTAGCAGTGCTGAGGAAGGAAGGAGAAAAATCATCTAGCCACAATGCAGGTACTGCATTATTTTTAGCACGCTCTGATATTTGAAGAACCAGAAAGCTGACAAAAATTTGTGCTGGCCAAAGTGTGTCTCCAGCAGGCGGCAGTGCTGGCACGGTGCTGGGTGTGCAGCCTGTCTGTTTTTCCCTGGGTAATTGGGACAGCATGGGATGCGCCTGTGCACGGCGCACTGTGCCCAGCCCTGGCCTCCTCCCCCTCCATGGACTCGCAGCCATTTAATTCCCCTTGGCTTCTCCCTTCCCGCAGATGCTGTCCGGGTTTTGTAATGCTGAAAGCTGTTTCTCTTGACATAAAAGTATCTGAATTCTTTTTTCCACTGCTGGTCCTTGAGTAATGATATTCACACTGAGAAATCTGTTCCAGTACCCCTTCACTGTGTGGCAGCTGAACTTCTGTGATGTTGTCCTCATTGCTTTTATGTTATGTGATGGGAGAACAGCTCATCCTTCACACAGCTGCAGGTTCTGCCTGCTGTCTTGCCTGGTTTCCTGAGCTTTGTCACTTATTTACTAAGTCAGAAGCAGTGAATTGCTCTTTGCAGTCCTGGATCTCAAAGTGATTTATTACGACTCCACAGAGATGAATCAATGAGGGCATGGCTAGAACTGTCTATCAGCCATTTATTGTAGCTTTTTCTCTAGCATCAGGCTCACATTTGGGCATTTTATCTAAGTAATCTGAAAACAACTATGAAAATACTGATCATTGATTTTATCTGAACCCAGCACTTTGTTTTGCCAGACTTCAGAAGATGCTTATGCACAGGGGTGAAACTTGAGCAAGCTGACAATTTGCATTGTGGATCTTAGTGCTCAGCCTTCCCGTGACAAGGTTTAGTTACAAAGAAAGAGCTGGAATTTCCCTTGGCCAAATTCCCCAGCTGTATTTTTGCTGCTAATCTGCTGCTTTTTTTGGAGTGCGGTTACTTCTCCCACTTCCAATGTCCTTCTGTATGGAAAGCTGGGGCTGACACAAACTTCGTGTCAAAATGCTTGTGCTGTTGTAGTGTTTCCTTTGAAGTTTTCTTGGGCTGTTGCCTCCAGAGGTGCTGTCCTACTTGTGCTCACAGTTGCACACCTCGCTGTTTCCTAATGAAGCCTCACTGTAAATTGGTGAGGGAAGGTATTTCCTGCTTGGATTTCTGTGCTTTCAAAGACACTGCTGTGGTGCCAGGTGGCAAAGAGCGGGATTTCTTGTGTCCCCTCTTAACAGCTCTTGGCAGTTGACAGCATGGTGTGAACCTGCATGGGAAGGGACTGGTAATTGTTCATACCACCCCTTACAAGGCAAGGGAGTTTTAATGCTGACCCTCCTGGAGATATTTCGAAAGGTATTTGCCTGCTTGCGCAGGGGGGTTGGACTTGGTGATCTCTGGAGCTCCCTTCCAATCCCTACAATTCTGTGATTCCTGCAGATGGTAGCTGTGAATTCTTCGAGTCCAACACCAGCATCGGCTGGGATGTGGGAGGCCCAGGCCATGGGGGATGGTGGAGCCATCGGCGATTCCAGTGCAGAAAGCCTCTATGTTCAAGGTAAACAAACACAGGAGTTAACATCACCCTCTGGGGTTGTTTATCATGGGAAGAGCAAAAATAGGGTGTGAAGTGGCATAGATCATCAGCAGCTGTATGTCTATGCAGTGGAGGTTCACCTTTGTGTTCTAATAGCAAGCTTTCTCCCATCCTTGGCGTAAACTCAGTCACCTGTTGGTTGCAAGATCTCAGAGCTTTCTTTGGTTGTGCTGCCAGGTATGGAGTTGTTTGAGGAGGCCCTGCAGAAGTGGGAACAGGCACTGACCATCAGGCAGCGGGACAGTGCTAGTTCCAGCACTCCTGTGCCCTGGGACAGCAAGAAACACCAAGAGAACTTGTCTGAGAATGCCTCAGAGGTAGGTCCTTCTCTTTTCTCTTGCATTTGGCAGCTGGGAAACATGCCAGAATGCCAGACAAGATGCTAGTAGTAGTAATAACTAATAGGATAGAAGAAGAGCAGATTAAGGGCAGAGCTGGGCCAGACTGTTTAAGAGCTGTCTACATCTGTGGCTTCCTTATGCAGTGTGAGTGGGTGATTTTTTTTATTTTTTATTTTTTTCTTTCTAATAAGTCTCTCCCCCTCATTCCTCAGCTTTTCTGCCCACCTTCCAGAACATGTCAGTCACTGTCATGCAACTGCTCAAGCAGCAGAGACTGCAGTAGGAAAAGGCTGTAACAGATGCAGTGCCTGAGAGAAAGAAAGAGCTTTTTGCCTGGCTGTGTTGTGTCTATAACTCTTTAACACGTTGAAAGTAGAGATCTTGGTGGTCACTCTCACTTCCTAGGGAGGTGAGTGGAGAAGCAGGATGCAGCTGCTTGTGTGTATTAATGACTAAAGCAAAGTAGCTGCTAAGAATGTCTCTGTTCACAGAACAAGTGGAGGGGGGAGATGTGTAACTTGTTCCACCTACAGAACAAGTATTTTAGGACAACGTCTTGTCTTGGACCTGATGACTGTGCTGGGCAGACCTCTGATAAAAGAGGAGATCCAAACTAAGAAGGCTCCGTGATGACTGACTACGAAGCTAAACAGAGCAGCTGTAGCTCAGGTTTGTGAAAGGAGCTAAACTCCAAACATTCCAGGAGTTCTCAGTGGTAAAAAGTGTTTCAAGGCTGTCATAAATAGGGCCTAGTGTAGTAAGTGTATTGGATATTTGCCTTCTGGAGTGGGTATTTATGCAAGTCAAATCTGCGTTCTTGCTGTTACTTTTTAAAGCATCCTATAGAATGGCTTGGGTTGGAAAGGACCCCAAGGATCATCAAGTTCCACCCCCCTGCCACAGGCAGGGCCACCAACCTGCATAGTGTTTCTGCAAACAAATCCAACATCACAATAGATCCTGTGCTTCTTACTAATGCTTCTATCTACTGGGTGACATATTCACACAGACACGGGGCATGAGGGCAAGATGCTGTGTCTTATTTTCCTTTTTTCTTCTTATGCTTACAGCAAGCTTTGCTTGTGCCCAGCACCTTAATCCAAGGACACTTATGCCATTATCCAGTTCTGGATACACCTCTGTATTCAACACAGGTTCTCTGATATATGATTTCAGCCTAATTTCATTGAAGAGGGAATCACGAGTCAGGAGAGTTAAGTTACTGTAACTTGTAAACATACCTGTTTCTCTGGATAGCAGACTGAAGTTCTTTCTTTTTTAACAGGAATACGAAATTGTGGAGCTAAAATTCCAGAGGATTTGAATAGGCTCTATAGAAGCATTCCTCCCATTACAATATTTGCTGTATTGTAGGATTGAGCTCTCTCTCTTTTTCTCCTTCTCTCTCTCTCTCTTGCATGTAATTTAATCTGTAAATTCTATGGCATTTATGTTCAAGGAGGAGTCTCAGAAAAGAGAGTTTGCTGAGAAGTTGGAGTCCCTCTTGCACCGAGCCTACCACCTCCAGGAGGAGTTTGGGTCTTCGCTTCCATCAGACAGCATGCTGCTGGATCTGGGTGAGCTGGGTGTGAAATACATTAGTTAAACAGCTTTTCTGTTTTTCTTTTCCACGAGCAAAGCAAAAGAGTGTTGGCAAAATGCTCTTATGAGGGTGGGAGAGAGAGCATAGTGACTGTAGGAGGAATAGTAGTCTGTGAACTCCAACACGTGTGGCTTCTTTGTCTCCTCCAGAGAAGACTTTAATGCTTCCGCTGACGGATGGGTCATTACGGCTTCGGACAGATGATGAAGACAGCTCAATTTCTGAGGACTCCTTCTTCTCTGCAGCAGAGGTAACTTAAGTTCCTACTGTGCGTAGCAGAGTGGCTGCTTGGAGGGAAGCCACAAAGACAGTGGAGCCAATCACGTCTTAATAAAGGAAAATGATAAAACGTGGAGCAACAGCACCAGATTGGATAGACGTTAGGAAAAGCTTTTTCATTAAGGTGATGGTGCAGCCTTCCCCGGAAAGATCAGGAAATCTCATTATGTGGAGGCTTTCAAGGCTTGCCCAGAACGAACCATAACTGACCTGATCTCTGTGGGTAACCATTCTTCTTCAAGTGGGAGGCTGGAGGTCCTTTTCATCCAACATCTTGGGTCATCTTCCAATCTACTGTAGAAAACATGCTAAAACAGCTAGGAAAATGCTGTGTCTAATGTAATGTGGCTTGGTTTTGTGTGTTCAGGGAATACTGAGCTGTGTGAAACTGGTGGGAAGGAAAATATCTTTGCATGAAATAATTGGGGCTGACAAAAGTTTGCCAGCTAAAGAAGGAATGTCTTGCTTGAGTGCAGTCCCCAAGTATTCACAAATATTTAATGAGGTCATTTGTTTTTTTTCCCATGCTTCTTGCTACCGTTACAGCTCTTTGACTCTCTTCACTTTGAGGAAATACCATTCCATCTATCAAAGCCAGTAGCAGCATATGAAGAAGCCCTGCAGCTAGTGAAAGAAGGGAAGGTTGCATGCCGGACATTGAGGTGAAGTGCCACCTGGAGTTGTGGATGTTTGTGTCAGGGCTCCTTTGAGCAATATGAACACAGTATTTACCTTTGAACAGCCCTATAAAAAGAATAACCCTTTGGGGCAGGAAACTCCTAGCATCTTTGTTGTTTGGACTCCTAGCATCTTTGTTTGGATTTTCTAGATTTTAGGTGCATGGTAAGAAAGGATATTATCCCAGGAAGTTAATAATAATGTTCTGTGTGGTGGGTTGCACAGTTCTATGCTGTGGCAGCCTTTACAGCGATACTGTGATCCTCCAGAGAACTACACAAAGGAAACACACTTATTACTTTCTTGTAGGCAGAGCCTGGAATTTTTTTTTCTTAGAAAAGCATAGTTGTTAGGGTCACAGATATTAGGAGAACTGAGATTTATGCATTCATTGCCTTTTCCCTCTAGGACAGAGCTTCTTGGCTGCTATAGTGACCAGGATTTCCTTGCAAAGCTGCACTGTGTCAGACAGGCCTTCAAGGTGAGAATGGTTCAGTGAAGGAGTGTGAGGCTGGCTGTCCTTGTGGTTCCTGCATTGCCATGGCATGTTGCCCCCAGCAGTGTTCTTTTACATCCATGTAGGACTGAAGTCTTTTCCCTCTAGAGCAAGTAAAAACAGAAACAGTCCAAGCTTCTGTTACTTAACTTTGTAATTATCACTGATTTGATTTGGAGAGGAATAAGTATCCCCTAGTCCCCATGCCCAGCTTGAGTGGTGATTACCTGGCTGCCTCTTTGCTGATCTAGTGTTGGAACGTGAAAGCTTGGGAATTGCATAGCTGGCCAGAAGCTGTCACTCCCATTCATGGTGACTTCTTTTGTTCCCTTTGCAGGAGCTGCTGGAGGATGAAAGCAATCAACTGTTTTTTGGAGAGGTTGGGAAGCAAATGGTGATAGGATTGATGACAAAAGCTGAAAAGGTAGGAAGCTTGAAAGTGGCTTATTTCTCTTGTGGGTACAGGAACACTTGTTCCAATGCACTAGACAAATTATGGACTGTAAAAGGAGAAAACTTCATCTGCATACAGGTGACCATTGTGAAAAGTAAATTGCCAATGTTTTTAGTCTTGTTCAACCAAATTCTCAGGAAAGAGGCTCTCTGCAGCTCCTGTCCACAGTTTGTCACTGTGCCTTACTACAGAGAGAGCAGAAGGTACAGAGTACATCACAGGAATATTCAAATACAGAATAAGGAAATAATAATGAAACCTCTGCTTCAACCACATCATCTCCCAAGCAGAGAGATGCTTGCACAGTGTTAATCTTACTGGACTTGGTTTGTGTATAGGTGCCTCTAACCACTTCCTTGAAGACAGCTAAGTATGTGCTTTAAGTCGCAGCTGAGCCTGGGGCTGTCCGTGCCTCCCACAGAAAAAAGTATTTCCATACAAAGTGTGTGTTGGCTGAAAAATTCAGCCAGTGGCATGTGTTGATGTTTGTTAGCTCAAAATAGAGAAGTAAGCCTTCAGTATGATGTGTCCACAACTGCTGTACCTTCTGAAGTGTTTTTTCTCTGCTCTTGCAGAATCCCAAAGCTTTTCTGGAAAGCTACGAGGAGATGCTGCATTATGCACTGAAGCCAGAAACCTGGCCGACCACACAGCAGGAGCTGGAGGGAAGAGGGGTTGGTAAAGACATTCTCTCTAAACATTGGAGAGGAGTTGGAGAGTAATGGATATGTAGGAACAACCATGGAGTGAATGAATGGCTTCTGAAATATGATTACTTTGCAATTGTACGTTGTGAGGGAGGCCAGGGGGAAAAGTGCCTGGCTGAGTGTTTAAGCTTCACAGCAAATCTTGCTTTCAGCAATGTTAGCACTACTGTGTTTTGAAAGTAAAAATAATGGGGGGAACAAAACCACCACATCCTCTTTCTGGAGGGCACAAGCTAATGTGTGTAGCTCTAAGATTTGCTTGCCCTTTTGACTGGACTTTTCCTGGACTCAGGAATTGGAAGCCCCTTGGCCAGCCCCTGCCTGGGGTTTGGCCAGTGAACTGAATGAACACAGCTTCCTATGCTGGTGGCAAACACTGTTTTGTTGTTTCAAAGTCCATCTCTTTTTTTTTTTTTGTAAACCTGTTTCCTTTACAGACTGCTCTGCTCTCTGACAGGTGGTGTGCATGAGTTTCTTTGATATTGTGCTGGATTTTATCCTCATGGATGCTTTTGAGGATTTGGAGAATCCACCTTCCTCTGTGCTGGCTGTGCTGCGCAACCGTTGGCTGTCCGACAGCTTCAAGGAGACGGTGGGTTCACCAGGCAGTGCTTGTGTCCAGCAATGCCAAAGCTAGGAAAGATGATCATACAGCACTTTGACTGGCCTGGCAGAACAGTGTTTTCTCTTTAGAAACACCGTATTTTCTCGAAACTCTCAACAGCAGTCCTCCAGTAAATCAGCTATCTGCTCAAAGTCTGTATTCTGGGGCATGTGGCAGCTATGCCAGATTGTATTAGAGATCTTCAAAAACACTTTGGTTTGTCTAGAATGGATCTGTAGTGGCCAAACCTGCTTCCAGCTCGTATGGATTTTTCCTAACTAATTTTAGTTGTTGGCACAAAAGGGCCACTGCTTTGATGTTTCAATGGCAATGTGTTGGCAGGCTGTTTTTTTCTTCAGAAGAGTAATCCCAGCAAATTATGGTCTCTTTGTTAATTGTAGGCCCTAGCAACTGCCTGCTGGTCTGTTCTGAAAGCAAAAAGGAGGCTTCTAATGGTAAGCAAGATTAATGAAGAGGGAAAGAATCAAATGCATTTGAAGCTGAAAAGATTTCACCAAGATCTTGGTGAAACGCAAAATCTTTGTGGTATAAGAATGAACTGAATTGCATTCTCTCTGCTTTAGAGTGCTGAGGTCCTGCTGTCATTTCTCTGTACCAGTGCAACATCAGTGTTTTACAGTTCTGTGTTTATTTTCACTTTTTCTTTATAAGAAGATCCAGAGAATAATGTTCTCCATTTGTTATTCCCTATCCTTGCTCACGATCCCATAGGAATGGTCTCAGTTGCTCTCTGAACTGTAGTTTGCCTGTTGGCAGTGCAGTGACTGGGCTCACCTGCTCTCCTGCCTCACAGTGCTGACCACTGGTAGTTTGTACTTAGTGCATTTCCCTTAAACCTGCTGCTTTTTTAAGTACTGCAGCAAATGAGTTTGAGGACCTGGAAAACAGGAAGCTGCAACTGCACAATCCCTACTTCTACCGCAGGGACTGTGGCCTCTGGCAAGTGTTCAGCTTCTATCCCACAGCTAGCTGGTATGACAGGGTTTGCCTTGTGAGATGATGCAAAGAGTAGTGAGTACACTGGAAGCTGTATTGCCATGCAGAATCTCCATCTTAGCTATCTGGGATTTTTTTCTGCTCATTCCTGGCTTACTTTGGAGATTGCAAGTAGAGTTGGTAAGGACTGCCTGATGGTCGCCTTCCATCTTCTTCTATTTATTCTTCTCCTGAAAGAGTAGCTTAGGAACATAAAGATAGAAAGCTCAAGTCATCCTTCAAGAAATCTGATGGATAACTGTAATTCTGCAGGAAGAGAGATTCTTAAGCAGCTCTTCAGTTACTGAAGCACAGTGCTGGCATGGTAGTTCCAACTGTGGTAGTTGATATGGAACAAGCTGCTAATTCTGTCTGAGAACTGAGACCTACCAATTTTTCCCTTCCTTGTGGCAGGTACCAGATGGCTTTATCTCTCACTTCTACTCCGTATCGGAGCATGTCAGTCCTGTTCTAGCCTTTGGTTTTCTGGGGCCCAAGCAGCAGCTTGCTGAAGTCTGCAGTTTCTTCAAGGTAGGATGGCTTTCCTATAATATATATATATATATAGCAGGCATACAAAATTCCTTATGGAATAGGTGGTACTGGAAGGTATGAGTGAAGGTCTCCTTACTGTAAAACTCCCTTTTATCTTTGCAGCACCAGATAGTACAATATCTGAAGGACATGTTTGATCTGGACAATGTGAGATACACAACAGTGCAGCTGCTGGCAGAAGACATCTTGCAGCTGTCACGGAGGCGCAGTGAGATCCTCTTGGGATATCTGGGCACAGAGAGCTCCCCTGAGATGAATGGCACACTTCCCATTGAAAACGAGCCTCTGAAGGAGCTCATCTGATGGCAATCAGAGGAGGAAAACAGTTTTGTACAAGGACTTTTTGCCTCACAGAATTGGATTAAACTACCTGCAATGGTCAGTGGTGGCCACAAGACTATCTCAACACACAGCAGCCTGGTGGGACCTTCTGCTTTTTGTAGCCAGTACTGTTTGCTGGATGGATCCAGGACCACTTGCCAGCTTATGGTTTGAATTTTGTCTTTGTTCCACCCTTCCATACCTTTTATTATTTTTAATGTGTCAGATAAATCATGAACTGAATTGGCTGAGACTTTTGCCAGTTCTCTTGAGTAGGGCAACCCATGTACCTATTTGGCCTATGTGTTATCTGGCAGATGGTTCCTCAGATGTTTATGGTTGTGTTGGAGGAGCAGGAACATCACTGGTAAATTTTCCACTTGACCCTTGGCTTCTCACACAGGTTTATGTTGCTTTGGGATTTTTATTACTGTTATTTTTCTGCTGTGTTTCTACAGATATTACTGCTGATTTGACTTCACATATTTTAACACATGCAACATGACTAGCAATTTTTATTTTTTTTCCCCAGGGAGGAAGTAGTAGTTCTGTAAAGCACTGAAGTGAAACACGGACTTTTGTAACCGATCTGTAACTCTGAGGAAGCTGGTCTGTTCCCTCCACATTGCTGTTCTTTGCAGGCCAGATGACGTGCTGTGCTGTGGTCATCTTTCCTTAGGAGACTGCTGAGGTCTGTTTGCCCTAAAGGCAAGTTATTGTGTGGACGGGGTGGATCTGCATCCTGCCTGTGGACACACAAAGTCTTTCACATCCATCAAAGTGCCTTGCTGTATTTCAGAATTAGCCAGCAGCAGTTCTTGCTAAGTAAGAGGAATGCAGAGTGAAGTACACAAGCAAAGGGAACTGGTGTAGCATGGTGCCTGTTCCTATTACACACAAGGCCAGAAGACAGATGGATGTTGGATGTATATACAGGAGAGATTGTGCAGGTACTTGAACTGGGATCAAGCTGCTAGAGAGGAAACTTTTTATTTTTTTTTTTAATACTTTGTTTATCCTAAGAAACACAATGTATAGTTTGGTGATGTAGTAAATGCAGGCCTATATAGAGCTGAGATGGGCTCTTCTCGTGTGATGTGATACTGACTGCACAGCTGGCACCTGAAGCCTGCCTGGATCATTCTCTGAATAGGAGATTAGGTTAGGATAGCAGCATTTGAGTGTGCTAGACTTGAGAAATTCATGGGGTTTTGCAAGGTTTGCAATGATGTACTGAGTCCTCTGTGACTGTAATGCTGCAGATGAAGGCTGAAGGTGCAGCCTGTCCTTCCTCCTGTTTTTGTCCACTGAGGGTCTCAGAGCCCAGGCTCAGAGCGAGGAGGTATTCAGGGAGAAGAAAATGGGGACTTGGACAAAAACACGAGTATTGCTGTTGTTTCACCCCCCCACCCCCCCCC